CCCCAAACCCCTATTCTAAATATCAAGGCCCCTACATTATGATCATGTTTTGGGGGTCTCCTTCTTCTTGTTAACATAGTAGAATGGGCCTGTCTTAGTATTAAGGCCCCTATATGGGGGTTTCCGCAAATAAGGGACCCTTATATAGTACCCTAAATAGTAGGATCCTTGTTATAACGACCCCCAATATAAGGTACCCCTTATTTTCGGAAACTCCCATATTGTGGTCTTTGGGATTCTAAAGCCTTAAACCCTATACTCCTAAACCCTAAACGCTACACCCTAAAAACCTAGATCCAATACCCTAAACCCTAAACCCTAAACCCTTAAAGACAAACCCTAAACCCTACACCCAAAACACTAAACCCTCAATAAACTGCGCACAGATTCCTGCCCAAGGGTTTAAAGAAGGACCCTCTTGCGAGTCCCAGCCCACGGAGTAAAAGATCTAGTGAAAGGGGAAGCGATAGAAGCTTAGTTTCGGGTTTAGGATTTAGAGTTTAGGGTTTAGGGTATAGGGTATAGGGTATAGGGTTTAGGGTTTAGGGTCTAGGGTTTAGGGAAGCATCCATGGAGGAAGCGGACATCCGCTTGAATTTCATGCGGCCGGAGCGATTGCGATGCCAGAGCCCTGACGGCTGGAGTACGTAGATGTGGTTGTAATAGAGGGCTGCTACAGGGTTAAGGGTTTAGGGGGCACTTCATGATTTTGTGGGGCTTGCAGTGGAGGGTGAAAGGTCTGGTAATCCTGCACACATCTTCAGGCAACCCCGTTGGGGTTGTTTTGGGGTGTAGGGGCCTTGAGGGTTTAGGGCTTTTGGGGTTTAGCATGTATGGGTCTTTTGGGGTGTAGTGGAGCTTGCAGGGTTTAGTCCTAAGCCAACCACTGACTGCAGCTTTTGGAATCCTACTGTTGGTGATCTAAATCCTGCATTACCCTAAGGACCCTAAGCTATGGGAATTATGGTCTATTCCTTAATGGGTAATGCAGGATACCCTAAACCCTAAACCCTATAACCCTAAACCCCCTATAACCTATAACCCTAAACCCTATCGCCACTATAACCCCAAACCCTCTTGTGGGTAATGCAGGATTTATATCATCAACCGAAAGTCCATCAGTCCACCTCAAACCCTCCCCAACCCAGCTCCCGAGCCTTGGGCCCCCGAGCTTTGATGAAAGAAGGTTAAGAACCCGGGTTTAGGGTTTAGGGTTGAGGGTTTGGGGTTCCTTGAAGCCCCGATACCCTGAAGCTTAATCACCCCCCTCCCCTTCCTCCCCAAGCTCTTCCGATTCAAGCAACTTCTGTGCCTCCCAGCCGCCTACGGCCGCGGGCCGGGCTACCTCGTCACGAAGACGGGGCTGGGCACTGGCTGGGACGACGCCGGCTCAGGCCGATATGTTGTTTCACTTGGGTCGTGCGCTAAATGCTGTATTGCGTTTCAATTGCGGCTTATCACAAGCGGTTTAGGGTTTAGGGTTTAGGGCTAAATGCTGTATTGCGTTTCAATTGCGGCTTTTGGGGGTTGGTTATGTAAGGTTCTGGTTTTGCTGTTTTGTATAGGGTTTAGGGTACAGGATCTAGCTGGGGTCGTATGGAGTTCTATGCGAGTTACAGCATCTTGGCACATTGGCTTTCGCCATCAGTGACCTTAATAAGGTTGAGGCGCTTGTGGTTGCTGGCTATCCAATCTTAGGGTTTAGGGTTAAGGCACTTTTGTCCTTCCTAAACCCTAAACCCTAAACCGTAACCCCGTGTCTAATCCCAAAGGTTAACCTCTCGTTCCCTACTTGGAGGTTCATGGGTAGTTATAAGTGGGGTTAAGTCCCTAATATGGGTTATAACTATAGTTACCCTACTTATCTTATAACTACCCATGAACCTCCAAGTAGGATGCTGGACAAGTGAGCAGGGCTCCGCGGCTGGGGTTTGCATGCTAAACCCCACCTGGTCGTACCAAAGCCAACTTTTCTTGGTAGGGTCCTCAAAAACTCCATATTAGGGTTGACAATGAGAACCTAAAGAGCCTGCAAAACAGTAGGGTGCATATTGTATATGGACCTACACACATGGAGGTTATAGTTATGGTCCCTAAACCCTAAACCCCTAAACCCTAAACCCTAAACCCCGAAACCCCAAACCCTCAACCCTAAACCCCTGAACCCCTAAACCGCCAAACCCTAAACCCTAACAACCTTAACGGCTTAGACAAACAACCCACCCCCCCAACGCAGAGGTCTCACTGGTTGTGTACTTACGCATACTTACATTTTGGCGCAAACCATATGCTGCCGATTCGAGTTATCACTACTAGATTAGACTCTTATCAATCCTTCTTAAAACTCTTGCAAGACTTTATGGAAACTTATATCGCCGTGTTAAAAGGCCCTATACAACCTCATAGAAACCCTGTAAACCCCTAGAAAGCCCTTACGAGCCCTATTCAACTCTATGAGCCGTATGCCCTAAATCCCAAGCAACCCTAAACCCTAACCCCCTAAACCCCCAAACCCTAAACCCTAAACCCTAAACCCTAAACCCTACACCCCAAACCCTAAACCCTACACCCCGAACCCTAAACCTAGAAATCTGCAGTCACGGCTT